GGTATCAAGAGTATTGATTGTGGAGTCAAGCAAACTAAAGCTGTTAATAATCTCAATCTCTACACTGTTTCTATCATAATGCTACCAATTGGCCCAATTTTGAGAATATCTGTTTTTTTGTTGTTGTTGAGGTTCAGTCCATAATGGAGGCTGCAGTCCTGGACTTTCTGCAGCATGTGCTCCAGGCCTTCTCAGTTTCAGCAAGCAGGGTTGTGTCATCTGCATATTGCAGGTTGTTGTTAAGTCTTTCTCCAATTCTGATGCCACATTACTTCTCATAGATTGGTTCTGCATGTAAATTGAAAAGGTATAGAGATAGGACACCCTTCCTGATTTTGAACCATGCAGTGTCTCTTTGCTGTGTTCTGATGACTGCCTCCTGGTTCCATACAAATGGAACGATTTAATTGGAAAATTTTATGTATATCTTACAAGAAAAGTGAAAAAAAGGTGTTCTGTGTGAATGATTTAATCTTAAGAAAATCTTTTTCGTTCTTAAAGCAGTTCTCATTCTTTGAGGCAATATATTTAATTACATTCACTCAGAGTGCTGATATTAGAACCAACTCACAGCTAATCTTCCACTGGATTTCTAAAGCTGTAAACTGCATGAGATGAGATTGACCATCTTTCTCTCTGGAAGCCATTGGGGGATTTGAACCATCAGAGAGGCATGGCCTTAGATTAGCAGCATGATTTCACATGGTGTACACTCCTGAGGCAATAGAATTGTTGTTATGTGCCACGAGTCAGAACCAACTCAGAGCTTACCCTCCAATGGGCTTTCAGAAACTATAAACTGGAGGAGATTGTGCATTTTTCTCCTGTGGAGCAGCTAGTGGATTCAAACTGCTTTCCACTGGGTTGGCAGCACAGCTCCTTACCACAAGCCACCAGAGCCAATAGCCACCACAAATAGAGTAGGACGAGTTAACAGAGAGGACAAAGAATGTCCAGAGTAAGATACAGTACTGGGGGCAGGGAGGGACAAGGTGCAGTCAAGAGCACTCTGGGGCTTGCAGCAGACAGCGAAAGGAGGGACAGAATGACAGAAAGATCACATCAGGGTTACTCAGTGCTGGTTTCGCGGATGCCAGTTTTTCTAGAGATGATTCTGTCAGTAATTTCTGCAATTAAATAAAGCACAGAGGAGTCTGTCTGAACCAAAGAATGCTTCCCCCTTTTTGTCTGTCTCTCTTTCCTCTGCCACCCTATTTCCTCTGGCATTAGTCTCTTCTCTCTCACAGATTCAGCTCACTTCACTGACAAGAATAGACAACATGGGCCACAGAATCTCCCCAGTAATGCCAGTGCAAGCATACTCAAGGATCTCTAGTGTACAGAATCTGCCTTGCTAATTTACTCATGGATACTATACACATGAAGCATCTTTCTGCCTCCAAAAGTCTATTTACAAATCCATATGGCTATTTAACAAGGTCACAAATGCAGTGTGCTGCCATCATGTCTGTGTGGAGGAAATCCAACCCCACTGCAAAGTCAAAATGGAGATCCAAGCAGAGGAGAAGCTTAGCCATAAGAAAGCGACCCAATGAGCTTCACAAAAGCCTTGAAGGAGTTTTGAATGTGTGTGTCTTGTCCCAGGTAAAGCACACTCTCAGAACTCTGCCTTTTTGTGCTGCAACATTCAGCTCAGCTACTTGTTTCAAATCAGTCCACGTTCTGAAGTTGACTTTTGGGTGATTACCATACAGATAGGGATTCCTAAGGCCAGAGTCCTTACTTCCTGGTGTTTATAGAGCAATGTGACACTTTTTTAATTTGCTTAATTAGTTATGAAATCAGATTGAGCCACAAGCTCTGGACTGACTCTCAAAAGGCAACCAGGAGTCCATTGCCTTGGATTTCAATCCTAGCTGAACCCCTTCAGAGCTTGGCTGTCTGTCATCAGTTCTGGAGCCTGGCGAGCCTGCGGACAGAGTAGATCTAGCCCCAGAATTCTGAGACATCAAGTTTAAGGGATTAGGTCACAAGGTCATTTGTCCTTACAGACCAGTGAATTTGAACCACTGACCTCTCAGTTAGCAGTCCTTACGCTTAACTACTGCACCACCAGGATGAATTTTGTGCCTCAAAGAAATCACTTGACCTCTTTCAGGTTTTTGTTTTGGTTTTTCTGCTTATGAAAATCTAGATTATAGTAACTATCCAAAGAATATTGTCTAAATTACATCAGTTCAAACCTGGGAAATATGCTTTACATAATCTAAAGTGCTGGCCCAGTGAGAAAGGAGTTGTCAGCCCACAAAAGGCAAGAGGTTCAAATCTACCAGCTGTTCCATGGGAGAAAGACAGATAATCGCCTCCTGAGATATTTACAACCTCTGAAAACTTGCTGGAGGGTCAACTATGAGTCAGGTTATTGGTTTGCATGTAATTGCAAAGACCATGACTTGAACCAGGTGCACCTTAGTCACTAGAGTGACATCAATCCTTCTCAGGATAATGGAGAGGACCCTGACAGGAGATTTTCCTGATGCAATTTGTCCTTTGATTTCCTTACTGCTGGTGCCAAGAAACAAGCACACAATATAACATAAAAATCAGAAGTAGTCCTATCTGGGTGTCTCAGATTAATGTTAATGAGAAATTGGCTAGATGATGGGGTTATCTGAGGAGAGAAATTCCAGAGAGGTGGGAGTTTTATGCCATAGTTTATGACCCTAACAGATTAGAATTGAGTTAGGGATTAGATCAATTTTCCAAACTGGTAATCATACTTACATGTTAAGCCAATTGGTAAGTGCAAGGTTTAAGAACACTGGTGGACTTGATGAGCCATAATATTTGGTTTCCTTGTGATTGGCCTCCCACTATTTTTCAGAGTATCATTGCTTCATAGACTTGAGAGTCCATCATAAGCCCCTGAGTCATGTGGAAGTATACATGTTGAGAAGGTGAAGTCCTAGCTCCTACTTGGTCCATGTACCTTCAATGACTCAGAATCTGTTGATCATCAGAATCCTGGACAGCTGTGTTCAAGTCCTGCTTGTCCATGTCCAAGTGTCACTATTACTAATAATCAAGTCCTAATGAACTTAAGGGGTCAGAACCAGTTCTGTCTACCATTCACCCTTTCAAAACACAAATATACAGCAATCAATGGCACACACACATAAAAATGTATTGTTCCCTGTTGAATGGAAAACATTTTTTTCTGGAAATGCACAAGCAAATCACAGTTAAAGTTTGCCATCACTATTGGAGTGAGATGCTATCTCATTGTAGTTTTGATTTGCATTTCTCTTATTGCCAGTGATTTGGAACATTTCTTCATCTGTCTGTTAGCCATCTAAGTATCTTCTTCTGTAAAAAGCTTTTCCATATCTTTTGCCCATTTTCTAATTATGTTTTCAGTCTTTTTCTTGTGGAGGCCCTGTAGGATTCTTTAAACTTTTTATATGAGACCCTTACATTCCACTCCAGTAGCAGTGGCAAAATTTAACAGGACAGCAAGTAATAAATGTTGGAGACAATGTAGTGAGATATGAACTCTTATACATTGTTGGTGGGATTGTAAAATGGTACAAAGACTCTGGAAGGAAGTTAGCACTGCCTCAAAAAGCTGAACATGGAAATTCCATACGACCCTGCTATTCCACTGCTCAGAATATATCCTGAGAAAATGAGAACTGAGGCACAGAGACTTGTACATCAATGTTCATAGCAGCATTATTCACCATTGCAAGAACCTGAAAACAGTCCAAATGTCTAGCCACAATAGAATGGATTGAGAAATTATAGTACATTCATATGCAGCATGCAGGAGCAAAGATTTTGTAAATTATTACCTAACTTGGGAGGTACTTGAGAATATTATGCTAGGTGAACTAACTCAGTTCCATAAGGACAAATATTGTATAAAACCATTATTGTAGAATGAGTTTGAGGATCCAAGTGAGGATGGAAGTAGAAGGGTGAGGATGGGTGAGGGAGGCATTCATCATAGGGTCACACAATCTGATAGGTGGAGAAAAGGTTGGATGAAGGAAATGGGAACGATCCAGTGTAAAAAAAAATGTATAAAGTATACAAACTATGTCAATAAGCCAGTATAAAATAAAAATAAAAATTCAAAAAAGATCACAATTAAAAATGGCATAGATATATGAGTAAAAAAAAAAAAGTAGAAATATAGTCCTGGAAGCATCGAAGTCATAGTTCCACTTGCAACATATTATGCTGATGGGATGTTAGCTAAGAAGTTGCCACTAATGAGTGAGGTTGTCTTTGGATATAAATGGCACTTTTGCTCGTTTTTAAAGCTCGTTCTATTATGCCTAATTCTGGGCTGGGACATTTATTACATATTGTTTGCTATTTTCCCCCCCTCTTTCAAAACTGCTGCTCCTGAGAAGTATCTGCCTTTATAGTGGTATGGCTTTTCTTTTTCAAAATGTTTTCATTTGCTATTCATTGCAAATAGACAACATGCAAAAATATTTTTAAAGCCTGATTTTGACACTGTGCTTTTTGGTATGGACACTTTGTAGTCTTGAAGCTTTATTAACAGTGTGTAGAAAGGGACTACGAATAGCTGTGTTGCTAAATACGGCTGCAAACTCAAACTCCTTAACTGGTTAAAGTTTGGTTGTGCCTGTTTGTTTGTTTGTTTGTTTGTTTGTTTGTTTCACTTTGTAGTAAATGGACAGGACAAGTCACTTGTATCTGCTCAGAGTTACATATTGTGCTCATTGTACTGTTCAACAAGACCTTGGAGGCAAGTGTCTTTTCAATGATTTCACAAGTTACTTGGCAGAGTTATCTGGACATTCCTCAGTGACCTCTCCAAGATTTTAGAAGCTGCGTTTGTTCGTGTAGAACCACCTATGTGTTCTTTCAACAGAGACAGGGTGGAGGAACAAAGCAGGGAAATGGAGACGGACGTTGGAGAGAAGTTTGACAACATCTCTGGGGCGCCTTCCGTTTTCGGTACAGAGTTGTGGTTTCCATGCTCACCACCCTTGTTCATCACTCACCATTGCATGATTCAACCATTCTGGAAAGATGTCATCTACAGCCTTTGGGTAAATGAGTTCTCGGTCATACAGATAGATTGTCCAGAAAAACCCGAAGACCAACTGGAAAACAAAACACAAAAATAGTGTGTTAAGCTTGGTGTCTGTCAGAGCTTTCTAAAATAGCTAAAGATTCATAGTAAAGTAAAAAAAAGAAAAAGTAGCTACAAGTTTTAAAATATATTTTTATATATACTTCACACCCATTTCTCTGGTGGCATAGTGTTAAAGAGCTGTGCTGTCAGCCCAAAGATGCATGGTTCGAATCCACCAGCTTCTCTGTGTGGGGAAAAGATGGACATTCTCCTCCTGTGTGATTTACAGCTTTGGAAAGCCACCTGGCACCTAACAGCAACCGTTAACTAAGAGCTGATGAGCCCCACTGCTCAGAACTTTGGTTTGATCCTCTTGTAGCCTTGGCTGTCTTGTCAAAGCCATCTGTCCTTTAAGTTACAAAGTCAATGCAGAGATAGAGGAAAATGTAATCTTCTGGTCTTGCTGTCTTCTTAAATTCTTAAAGCTCCACTTCTGAGTTTTAAAAAAAGTTAACAGCCTCCTTTGTTAATAAAGACTCAGTCTGCAGGGGTTTTTGAGGTTAGAGGGTGTCCTGTGAGAGAAAGCTGGAATGTTCTGCTGCCTTCCTGCTCATTAGTGTTTGGATGGTTTCATTTCATATTTAAGTTCGAAGTCTTAGTTCTGTAGGAGGTATGACAATGACAGGTGGGAGAAGGTAGTTCTTTCCAATTATAGGCCCTGCTAGGCAACCGGTATGCCTCAGCTTGGTCTGTTTCCATTCTGGGTTATGAATGGAAACATGGGCGAGTCATAGAAATATGGAAAGCAGTAACAGACCCACTCACTTCCCCTTGCGTTCACCTTGCTTTTTTCTGATGTCCTGATGATTCTTGTCCTGATGTTCTTCCTGATGATTCAACAAAATGAACCAAGCACCCGCTATGCCCACCGTACCAGCTACTGGAGGCATCCTGTCCATCTGCCCTTGACCTGAAGTTTTATTGTTACTATGTGTACCGACACTGGAAGTCCTCATTCTATCTTCTTTAAAGTAATTTTTCTTTTCTTTCCATTGCAGAAATAGCACATGCTTATTACAACAAGTGAAGCACAATATACCAAAGGGAAAACTAATCATCTCCTACCCCAGTACTCTCAAATCCCATCCCTGCGAGGAACCAAAGTTTGCTAAGTTCTGTTTTGCTATAGGCCCTTCCAACTTCTGCTTTAGAAAACAGTAAGGATCTTGTATTAAGTGGTGACAAAGATACTAAAGCTAACTATAACACCTCATTGTTGAGTCAGAACTGACTCAAAGCTGCACCTCTATTGGGTTTCCAAGGTTGTAAATCTCATGGGAAGATATTGTCCATCTTTCTGCTGATAAACAGTTGGTGGTTTCGAACCACCAGAGAAGTGTGACCTTTAGGTTAGCAGCACAACTTGCTATGAACTATGCCTCTAGTGTCACTCCAAGTACCTTTATGTTGAAATTTACTCAGAGCTGACTCTATAGCAGGTTTTGAGAGGAAGCGAATTGCACAGAAGGAAACAGCCCATCTTTCTCCTGAAGAGCAGCTGGTGGATTCCAACCACATGCCTTTGGGTTTGCAGTGCAACCACTTAGTACCAAGCCACCAGCACTCCCTAAATGAATAATAATAGAGCCAGTCATTTATGTGCTCATTTCCTGTGGGTATAGGCACAAGACCACACATACACTTAGAAACAATGGCTTTGTGATCAAGCCTCATGCCCCCATCCTCAGCCTTCTGCTCCCTTCCCTGCCTTGGACCCTCATACATGTTCTATAATAATGGTCTTATACAGTATTTGTCCTTATAGGACAGAGTTAGTTCACTTCACATAATGCTCTCTAGTCCCTCCTATGTTAGGTAGTCATTTACAAAATCAAAAGGAAAGGGGAAATATCTGGTGTGAAAAATAAAGTATATGAACTTTGTAAGTAAACTGGAATAAAATAAAAATATTATTTAAAAAACTGAAAAAAAATAAACTAACCAAAAAACAATAGCTTTGGTTTACAGTAATAGGCATAGTTTTACCGCCCAGGCAAAGTAACTTCCAAACACCCCTGGAGCTTATATTTCATACACATATCTGTAACTTACTGTGGACAGAGGAAAAGCCAATGTGATGAAAAGCAGGTCTCTGAAGGCAGTTAGGAACGGAATGTCTTTTTTCCTTGTAATTCTTTTCAGCACATCATCCAGGCTAGCGATCCCAAAGAAAATGGCCTGTAAGAACTAAATTCATTACAACAAATGAGGACATTTTCATTTGCCTTAATTAATACATTCTTCAACTGACGTAAAACTTCATCCCTCGGGGAGCAATGTGGATTTGGGAAGAAGGCAGCCGTTTGACTGTTTGGGTTTAGAGCCAATTCAAAGGCCAGGCTTCCATCTCAGTGGGCCCTGACCTGGCTCACTAAAACGAATTGAGTGAAGTTGTTTCAGGGATAATAATGTGTACAGTAGTTAATGTAATGGATTTAAGCGAAAATGAAAATAAAACAGAGGCAGCTTAAAGGAAGAGCGTAATGAGCCACATGAGAGGCACAGAGGTGGGAAGAACCCTATTAGCAGCAGGATTGAAAAGAGGCAGAACCAGTGGTGGACACATTTTGGTCTTCCCTAGGGAAGTGGAATTGAGAGAAATGCTTAAACCTAAAATAGCACTCAGAGACATTTGTATCAGAATTGGGAAGGTGAGACTGGAGCTGGGTGTGCTTCTGAGTGAGCTTGTGCTCTTCCTTTGATAAAAACAGGTAACTGTTAGGATTTAGGGAGAGAATCTGCTGAGGGGTTCATTTAAAACCAAAGCAAACACTAGGAAGTCACTAAATACCCTAAGTTTTCTAAGGCCAGGCAAAAAGAGAAGCAGAACCTTCTCCAAGGAAGAAACATTAACAATTTCACCACAGCTTACACACCAGTGATATTGTGGTGGCTTGTGTGTCACTGTAGTGTAGGGTCACTCATGGTGGACAGGTTGCAGTAGAGCTCCTGGGCTAGTATAGACTACAAAGAATGCCTAGGGATCTACTTCTGAAAATTCGTCAACGAAGACTCCACGTATCACAATAAGATATTGTCTGATAGGATATTGAACGGTGAGCTCCTTAGGTCAAAGGCACAGAAAGACCACTGTGGTCACAACAGTTGGCCCAAACATCCCAACAACAATGAAGAAGGCACACGATCGGCTTTATCTAGTGTTGTGCTTAAGTTTCCAGGAGTTGGTGGGAACTCACAACACTATGGCGTCCAAAGCAAACTGCCCATTCTTACTACTTCTCACAAACCTTGTGCCTTCTGATTATAAGCCAAATAGTTTGGGCTGGTATAAGATATGCCTGCCTAAGAATCCATCCTATTCCTCGAAAGCTGTGCATTGAAATAGAAGACATACCCCAAATTATGCCTTCAAAGTATGAATCAGAAGAGTTTTTGAACTTGGAGACAAAAACCAAAACAAAGAAGGCTCCATACTGGAGTGCACTTGCGG